TGAGACAAAGGGAGCTATATATATATATATATATATAAGATTGATTGATGAGCGGAACCACTCATCAACCCCTTCACGCTAACCCATGAAAATAAAAAGAAACTAAAACCCAAACTTCCTTACAAAAATGGTGCAGCTATTATAAAAATATAAAAAAAATAAAATCTGCATTCAATCTCGGTATGATCACGAGGTCCCAATAGCTACTCCCCTGAGAGTGTTAATGGCGGAGATAATTGACACAATTAAGGTTAAGGAGTTTTTTTTTTTTTTGAAGGGTGCCACCAATAAAAACCAGAGCTATTTCATGATACTGGATTGACCGCTGGTTATGTGTTTCCACTTGTTTTTGTCGATCACCTTACTAACGAGTCTAGTTGTTGCGGAGGTAGCTTTTGTTGTGTGGTCGGATGGGCGATTGTGTGTTTTCTTTTACTTTCCACTCACAACTCTGCGAATGTCGTTTTTGATGACTTTGCTCGGAGGGCTCAGGGGCGTTCTCATATGTGCTGATATACTTTTTTTGCCATCTCTAGTAACTCAATGAGACTCAGGGGCCCCGCTAGGTCGAGGTCGATGTGGAATCTCTCCAACATCAAACTATATGTTAATGCGACCTAAGCCATATAGGGCTTTAGATCATTCACCTTTAGCGTTTCTCTTTGAAAACGTGCAATAAACGAGCAAAATCTCTTATTAGGTCATTGTTTTAGTTGTCATTGGCATTAGACACTCTTTTTGGGTCTTAGTGCACTGACAATTGTGCTAGAAAAAAGTATCACAAGCTCTGCATGTGTGAGTATTCCCACTGGTAACATGTTCAACTGCCTTAGTGCGAATAATCTCTACGTTGTAAGAAACAATTTGCATTTGAAGACATCAAAGATCTTTAGTAAGCACATTGAAGATTCAAAAGAAGTGAGACGGTTAGTGGGATTCGACCGTCCCTTATACGACTGTAGAGCAGATAATTTGAACTTCTCTGGGGGTTTAACTCTAGAAACCCACGGAAGAAAGCATTCTCTGATTGCCGTTTCATCTCGGTCAGCACAAGTCGTTGCCTCTCCTCCACACAGGCCAATTCGACGCTGTATTGTTATAGCACATCCTCAACCCTCTCCTGTAGGCGATTTGTTCTTCTCCTATTATGCGCCGATGAATCTTCTTGTAGAGAAGGGCGTGCTTCCTACCGAACTCGTTGTCCTCCTCAGACTGTGGCCGCTCCCAAGTTCGCAACATATCTGAGTATTTCCACAAACTGTTCTGAAATTTGGTTGGTGATTTGAATCCTCAGGCCTTGCAGTCCTAGCTGGATGAATTCCTCCATGAATTATTTAGACACACCCTTGCACTAAGTTTCTATGACTGATTTCTCCTTGTTGTTGCTATTGTTGGGCTCCTATTCTTGTTAAAGGCATATTCCACACAACACCTTAAAGAATGTTGAATCCAAAAGTGTCTGAGAAACACGAAGGAATAGAGCGTAAAAAAAAAAAATAAAGTAAAGTAGGGCATGATAAAAGCATGTAACATGTTATATGGAATGATCCCTATTTATAGGTATAGGGATAAGTGTTACAATTACAGATTTGTATGTTGATCATAACTTTTGTCAAGTCATTTCAGTAAAAACTTAGGGAAAATAGATAAAATATTATAGGAGCTATCTAACTAGCATTGAATTTGTCGGTTGTTTTTTATGCGGATCGGTTGTAGCTGCATAGTTGATCGATTGGTGCTTATTTGTGCGATTATGCGCACCTCCCGTCTTCCTCTTCCGATCGTCCGATCGTTAGACTCCCTAGGATCGATGTTGTTTGGTCATCCAGTCATTTGATCTCCTAACGATCGTCTTATGACGTGGTCGTCAGATTGCTTTTAGATTTGTGATGTTGTATTTTTCATATAAATTATGTAATTTCCTCTATTAGCCTCGAGAGAAATGGTTCACCTATACAAGAAGAAATTATTTTATGGGCTTTATTTCTATTGATTGTTTGAGGACGTTCAACTTTGTGGCATACATTATTTGGAATTGTAAATTTATGAAACACAGATAAAATGTTGCGCTCTAAATTTAAAAAAAAAAAATTTATAACACATAAAATTTTGCGGCTCTAAATTTAAGTATTTAATAATAATTTGATACTAATTATATTTTTAATTTAATAAAAAAGTCTACAATTGTTTAATTTTATTTTAGTTGATGAAAATTTTAAATTAAAATATTCAACTTTTTTCAGCCTTATGTTAGATTCTACCACGAATTATCATTCACCAGAACTTGAATTAATTGCACTTAAAAATTTCTTCATCCAGGAAGATGATTAGAGAATATGTAGTTCATTAAAGCAGTGATATACTTAAACTATAATCCAAGATAATAATTAGGGTCTATTTGGGGTGGCGGCGACAGTGCGTTATCACACTGTAGTTTTGTCTGTTTGAGTAAATTACGTTTTGACATTTTTTTTCAAAAACCTGCAATTTACGTTTTCCAACCAATCCTGATCAGGTGCTGCGACATCTTTCTAGCTACGACCTGACTTTATTTCAATTTTTTTTTAATAGACATCATAGTTTTTTGAACATTAGATTATTTTTCAGCAGTTTCACAACTATTTTTTAATAAGCTACAACTGCCCCAAACAAACTCTTTATCATAGAAGATGCTCTCGAGTAGCTTCCACCCCAGATTTAGAATCGTAACAAGCGTTTTGAGGTCATTAAAATTCAGGAAGTTCCTATTTGAATGTTCCAAGAATAACCATTAAAATTTAGAAAAAACTCACACACACATGAGACCGTTCATAAGTATTTACATATCTAACTCCTAAAGTTTTATAATTTCAATTTATAAAACACATTATTGTCATTTATGCATGTAAAGTCGCATTTCACATTTAAAAATATAATAATTATTGATGTTATTTTTGATATAATGCTAAATATTTGAGTGGCATACATGTAAATATAAATGTTAGGTGTAACAACTATATTTTAATAATTGAAGCAACTCAGCGAAGACTTTTAAATCAAATCAAATAATAGATAAATCGGAATAAATGAAGTTATATTTAGATCCAAATCGAGTTGAATCAACTATAATTTAATTTATTTTGATTGATTTTGATATAAACAAATTTGCATTCTCAGATAATTTTTGTGTAGATAAATTGTTAGATTTATTAACCTAATTTAACGGTAAAATGAATATAACAGTGAACGGATAATTTTTTTTTGGGTTTCAGTTAATAATCAAAATTTAGACAATATTTGGGGTAACTTATTTGGTGCGGTGACGTTTTGAAAGCACACTTGACCTGTTTGGGTAAACTGTATTTTGACAGCTTATGCGTTTTCAAAATGCAAAAAACTGTTTTCACACCGCAACTTTCTAGGTACAGTGACAACTTTCTGACAGCGGTCTGACTTTTCAAAAAAAAAAAAAAAGTCATCACACCTAACTTATCAATTAATTATTTTTTATCAGCTTATTAGTAAATTATTCAATATGCTGCAGCTGCCCTGAACAGGCTCTTAGTAAAGAAAAGTAATTAAACCAAGTAAGTAGGTTCGATTAAATTTTTTTTTTAGAAAGACATAAGCTTAGTAAGGTTTTGAAAGAGGGAAGAGCAAGTAAGAGCACGGCTGATATTTTCCGCTTTTATAAGGGCATTCTTGAACAAGTATTGATATTGCCCGCCCTGCCGCCAAATTTTGCTGCGCTAAAGAGGAAGCAGAGCTTCGAACTCCAATCAGGAAATCACAAAATGGCTTCGGCAGATGAAGAGTCGGGCAGCGAGGAGCCCTGCTGTAGCTCTGATTGCACAGACGACTGTGAAGACGATGACTACAATGAAGTCCAGGGAGAAGAAGATCCGCAAGTCGACGGAGATGATGAGGTTGAATGCGCGGCGAGAGCGGTTTTCAGGATTCCTCCACCGTCTGATGCTGAAAGGAAATCCTGCAATGTCTCTGCTCTCATTCGGTATGGTTCGATACGCCTGATTCCTTTACATTTTGCTGCGTTCATAGGTTTATTGAATTTGTATTTTAGGGTTTCCGGAAAGCGACGAGCGTTATTGTCTCAGTTGCACTTGTGCTGTTTTGATATAGCGCATTCCATGACATGAATCTGCCATTTTAGGGGAAATCTCATTGTTAAAAGGCAATCGCTAATTCCTCGAGTTCTATCGGTTGCTGATGGAGCTGTGGTGGCTCGAAGGCCGTTCAAGCCTCCGTGCCCCGATGGGTATGAAGATCAGAACAAACTCGCGCGACGACTTTTTGCCCGTAAAAGGTTTGTTCCTTGGGGTTCATCGAGGCCACCATTGACTGATATTAAGAATCTCTTTAGTTCTCCCCCTGTTAATGAGAATGACAAGAAAGAAATGTATGAGCCTCTTCCACCCGGCGTTGAGCCTTTGGTTTTATGGCAAAATGAAGGGACGGGAGAACCAGCTCAGATCACGGTTGATCCGTCACTAGTTTGCTATCTTAGAACTCATCAAAGGTATTGATCATATTTGTTTTTGAAATTATTTTTAATTTTTTGTTTGATTTTTGCTTTTGATGTTATTATTATTATTTATACGTTCTCTTGTACTCCTCCCTGACGTTAGAGCTAGGGGCAATGTGACATTTGATTCTATATATATTCCTGTCGAAACTTTGTTAGCACTTAGCACATGAAAAAAGAAAAAAAAAATTCTTTGACGAATAAGCATCATATCAAAACTCTGTACGTCGCACTTGATTTTGTTTGAGCACTTGGTAGTGGAACAAATTCTGTAAAATAATTATAAACAAAAAAACCTTGCAGTGCAATTTATGTTGAACTGAAAAAAGTGCTAGTTGATTAAATGCAAGCTAGCGGTGACAATAATCTTTGCTCTTATTATAGAGAACATTCCCCATTTTGTATGATTTGTTTTCATTGTTGCTCTGAAGGAAATTGATGAGGCATTTCTCTCTTTTATACCTTAACACAGTCAAGTATCAATTTTATGTAGGCACTCTCCTTAACTAAATAATGTAGCAGGAAATTATAACAAAGAAAAGATTAAAGGAACCGAATGAGGAGAGGAATAACATTGTGTTTTTCTTCTGCCAACCTCCCAATTAGCAAGCAAACGTTGCACATTTTTTAAAAACTTAAATCACGAGAACCTTTACATTTTTGGATAATAAATAGGTTCTAGCCTAGCGTAGAACTACAACCCATCCTGTTCAAGTAATTCCATTTATTTAATTTTAAGCATTCAGAAAATTAAACAAAAGTCAGCAATCTCACAAAAATGGTTAAAATTAATAACAAAGCGAACAACCCCTCACAAATGATTGCATGCCTTTGTCCCAAAGGAATTTGAGACAAAGGGAGCATGAGTAATATTGCTATTTTTCATAGTGAAGGAAACCATGGCAGTAGTGCGTTTGTAGTATCAGGAAAAATAGAGGTATGAAAGGTTTTATTTTTAGTAATTAAGAAGAAAATAAAGCGGAGGTCATACTTAGGAAGAAATAATTCTAGAGCTTTGTTATCATCTGAAGAATTGGAGAATTGTTGAACGTATTTCGTTTCAACATATGTATATAATTTATACAATTCTTAAAAAAGCTTCAAATAATATATATATATATATATACATATATATAGGGCTGTAAACGAGCCGAGCTTGAGTTAGCTCAGGCTTGGCTCGTGCTCGGCTCGTTCGAAATAGCTCGTGTTCGAAATCG